TCGTGTTGAAACGGACTGCATTTGGGCCCACTTGTTGTAGGACGCCATACCATGTTATGCCTGACGTGATAACTGAGGGTATCTTCCGACTCACCGACTCCAGCTACTGCTTTGGTTGCTGATGGCGCGAGGCACCCACGAAGAACTGGAATGCTGGCAATTTCGATGTTGGGAAACACGACGAGGAGACAGGGAGACGAAGAGAAGAAAATGACACAGGAGAGAGAGAATTGAAAACGAATTTGGCTTCGTAACAACGCTGAAAAGCCGCTCGTACACCGCCATGTTGGTTGTTGAATTATTTGATATTGAATTACAGAAGATCTCACAGAACAAAGACGCAACGTAAGCTTGCATCTGGTGAACACCACGTAGTGAAGACCTTGAGAAGCTATTAGCGTACTCAGATACTTAAGAAATTCTCTGCCTTTTATGGAACCAGAAGGTTCATCACCGTGCCCACAAGAGCCCGCCACCTGACACAGATAAATCCAGTCCACACTTTTTCTCCAATATCCATCTTAATATTATCATCCCTCCTAAGCTTATGTATTTTAAGCGGTCTCTTCCCTTCAGACTTAAGAGCTAAAATTTTGTACGTATTTCTTAGCTCTCAGCAAATCTCATCTTCCTTGGTTATTGTTTAAATTATTCTCCATACATTTGCTCTGTTATTTGCTTGAACCATCTACATAGCAAAAGACAATATCGGAATACTACAAATAAGACTGTAAAATGTTTTCACTCCGAGACCAGCAAAGTCTCGGGTCAGACCTGGAACTCCAGACGCAGGGGGACATAATATCACACAAGATTTTTGGAATAACAACACGATTCGGGCGGGAGCTCTAACCGGAGAACTCCGGACATGAAGGAATGCTAACCACTTGACTGTGAAGTCGAGTGGTAAGCACAGGGACATTTTAACAACGAACAATTCATCGTTTTTCCTTCTCATCTGTTCGGGTGGAAAGTCCGCCATTGAATCTACTTAGAAATCTCAGTAGTCGTGTTGAAACGGACTGCATTTGGGCCCACTTGTTGTAGGACGCCATACCATGTTATGCCTGACGTGATAACTGAGGGTATCTTCCGACTCACCGACTCCAGCTACTGCTTTGGTTGCTGATGGCGCGAGGCACCCACGAAGAACTGGAATGCTGGCAATTTCGATGTTGGGAAACACGACGAGGAGACAGGGAGACGAAGAGAAGAAAATGACACAGGAGAGAGAGAATTGAAAACGAATTTGGCTTCGTAACAACGCTGAAAAGCCGCTCGTACACCGCCATGTTGGTTGTTGAATTATTTGATATTGAATTACAGAAGATCTCACAGAACAAAGACGCAAGATCGCTCTGAACGCAAAGTAATCACTGTTCACTCACGCATTTTGATTAAGTAATGTTAAAAGGAGGGGTATATACCCCCAGAAACACCTCAGTTCTACTGCGCATTCACAGATCAATAGAAGACGCGTAATCTGACATCTAGGTATTATTTCAGACCGGTTCAAATACAGATTAATAACTCAAAAGTGAAGAAACATGACCTACGTGATTGTAAAATGGGTCCTTTGCCACCACAACATGGAGAAGACGGTCCCAAGATATGGAGGGTAGCGGCGAATATGTTGAATAAGAAGTCGCGGATAGCAGATAAGGGGTGGTCCTCCAGTTTGGGCTTGGGGCTGGAGGCTAACGATTCCAAATAGTCAGTCTGTTTTATGAGAAACGAATTACTTATGGCACCAAATACGTGTGTCTGTTGTCCCTAATAAGTTATGATGGCGCTGTATAAAATTTGGTTTGATAAACAAGCCGCTAAGGTTGGGATATTTAAACGTCCTACCGGAGTGACAGTGGATGATCTTGAAACTTTGTATGATAACAGATCTTTGAAAATACGCACATGCTATTAAGGAAGAATTCTCTGTAGACCGCGAAACAAAGATAGAGCCGTAAGACTTGAGGTTCTCACAGCGGTGAGTATGAAGATATCCGTCTTCTGGGTTATTGCGCTGTGTAGTCTGGTCGATGTTAACCAACGTTTCAGAGGTCATACTGCC